TGATATATATGTCTCTTGTGAAACATTGTGTAAGTATGTATGTGGGGGCAGAGGAAGGGTACGTATTAAAGTCTCCTGCAAGAATGATATGTTTACCAGAGTGCTTTCCGATAAAGTCCTTTAGCTTTTAACTGCTATTTTTTTAGATCGTATTCATGGGGAAAATAGCATGAAATAATTATAATGTCCACTCTGGATTTAAATTTGAGGTGAATTGTGTACCAAAACTCATTAAGGACAAAGGTTTTAAAGATATAATTAGTAATAGCTTTAGTCAAAAGAATCGCTGCTCCATTGCTGGCAGAATCCTTGAGTAAGTTGGTAATAATTGTAATATTATTTAGAGATATAGGAAGTGGTTTTGATTTTGTGATTTTTGTCTCTAAGCAGCAAAGAATGTATCTATTACTTGTAATAGACTTGGTAAGTTCTGATACTTTTGCACTGTCGTTGAGGCCTCTAAAATTGAGAGTAGATAACGTAATAAGATTTTTAAGGAGTGTTGTAATAGTGTTTGTTTGAGAATGGGTTGATGTAATAGATATAGAAGACAAGGGAGTAATAGTTGATATGCTAGTTAACAACGACTTGGGTTAATCGTTGTATGCATTATTTATATAAGTTTTGGTAAGAGAGTCAGAGCTGGATCAGGTGACTTAGGTTCAATTAGAAATTCTGGTGGTAGTTTCTTGAAGTGAAATATTTTCCTAAGGGCATTAAGTTTGTTTGTGAGTAATATATCTTCAATTATTGGGAGGGTTATTGTATTGCTTTCCGATCTGAGAATGGTTTGGGCTTCCTTGTGATTGGAAAGGTCTGATAGGATTGGTATTATCCATTCTTTTGGGATACGACCAAAATATTTCTCTTTAATTGTTTTGACAGTTACAGCAAATTCAGGGTGTTCTCTATTCAACTTATCACTGGTTATTCCAAGCTCTTCTTCTACTTGAGAAAAGTTACTTGGGATGTGAGACTTTTTACTCTGGATTAAACCTTCCTTAATCCACACAGGTCCAATGGGAAGTTTGAAAAAGAATTCAGTTTTTAATTATCTAATAAAACCTTTGACCTCATCTGATTGTTAATTGGGAGAATATTTCATAATTCTCGCTATACCAGTGTACTGGTGGGGAAGATCTTTTGGTCATGATATAGTCTGCTAGTAGTTTTTTTAAAGCATAAGATTCATTTCTCAAAATTTGCACAGCTTCTTTAAAATCAGCAACATTGTTGCTTACTGGTAAGTAACCAATCAGGTTTTTTGAAAGGTCTTTATACGATGGAGGGAGGGGTTCCTTTAGAGGTAGAAGGTAGAAGTATAATTCAGGAAGCTTATTTGACACGTAATAATGCTCTTTCAGTTTGTCGACTAGTATTCGGAGGTCTCTAAGATCTACTCTCTTTGTCAGAGGGAAAATGTCTTGTACTTCAACTCTCAAATAAGATAGGTTCTCTGGAAGATTGGGCCTTTTAATGAAATATAAAAGGGAAAGCAGGTCAAAATTGTAGTACACTCTAAGGCACTGTGCAATTTCTCGTATATATTTGAGCGAAGTGATGGGGATGGCTTTAGGAAGCTTGATTTTGATAGAGGCGGGAATTAAATCGAGTGAGACTAGGAGGTCAGGTAGTTTCATCTTGATAAGTTCTTTATATTTATTATAAAGGTCTTGATAATTTATTTCTGTGAGGGAAGGATCAAAAAAGAAATTAAAGCCATATTCGAGTAGTTGAGCAGCTTGCCAGTAACTGAGTTTTGTGAGGTCAAAGAACCTGAGGTAGGCTGCAAAAAGAGCTTTGTTGAGGATAATTCTGATTTTTTTCCTGGTCATTTTGGTAATATAACTGATATTGTTAGCATTAAGGTAATTGACTTTGAATTCACCCTCAATTTTTTCGTATTCCACTTGGTGCTATACTTTAATTAACTCTTGTTTGGTGAATGTTCTGAAAAAATCTCAGTCTCTGTGACCTATTTTTGAAAAGATGACCTTTAGGGAAGACCTCGGGTAACCTCTAGTTTCATTTCTAAATTTTAAAAAAAAATTGATAATGGCTTCTGGGGATCGATCACATAAGGTAATTTCATTGCAAAAATCAAGGATCTTTTGCTGTTCATCTTCTGGTGGTGTTAAATGAATATCATTAGATGGATGATTAGCAGATATTATGGCTGGTATGGTTTCAGTATCAGCCATCCATAATTGAGTATCTATTAAGTCTTCTTTTTGAGATTGGGTCAATGATAGATGGTTATCAATTTCCATTTCAAAGTTTGTTTGGGTCCCGTGTGATGATAAAATATGGTTTATATTAGTTGTTTCATAGTCACACAGGTTTGTGTTATCTAACAGTGATACGGAGTCAGGGTGGAGTCAGGAATTGTCACTGGAGAAGAATCAAGTTGCATGGTATTATTATTGATCATCATATCATGATCGATCCTTTCCTCACTAGGTGCAGGAGTATTTGGAGGAAGTAAGAGAGTTTTGGTTTTTCTGTTCAGGATGAAAGTTTTTTGTTTTTCGTCAATAAGGATTTCAAGCCTGTCCCAAGGAATGTAAAGGTTATAGTTTTAATTTTTGTTTTATTATTTCTTTCATGATATCCGTTCTGTTATCATCAGTTAAGTGGAATATATGTTGAAATTCTAAAAAGGTGTTTAGGTCAGCGGTCATCATTTTCTCAGGGATGGAGAGGATTAGAATGGTAAGCTGGGCAGAGAGTCTTGTTCTTTGGTAGTCTTCAAAAGTAATGATAATTACTTGGATATCTTCTTCTACATTTTTAGGAGAACAAACTAGAGTTAGACAACTTTTGGACAATTACTGAATCTAGAAAGACGAGTGGATTGCGTGGATAGGGTGGTGAAAATTTTATTGGTTTTTATATTTTTATAGATAATAATAACTTGAGGAGGGTCTATGTTTGTAACCAAAATGTCCAAAAGGATATGTTCAGCGTTGGAAGCATGACCTTTGGAGATAGAGACTTCTCTAAGATCCTTTGTTTTTTCTTTGAACAAAAAAATTTTTTCTTTATTTTTTTTTGAGTTTCTCTATATAGTAGTTTTATTCAGATATAGATAGAGTTTTTTTTTATTATTTGATTATAAAATAATTAATATTCAATTATATATATAAAGGTTATCTATCTAAAGCAGTTAATCCAAGGTTTTATCTACTAAATTCTTTTATCCTTAATATTATATATCTTCAATAAATTTTTTAATTTAAACTAAATCATCCAAAGCCTCTTTTAACATATTTGTATAACTTCTATTATTCTTGAATTACCAACTTTAGTATATCATAACTGAGATATTCTCTCTCAACTTAAAGTAGATTATTGCTATAGTAATTATATCTATTTATCTGATTTGGAGGTTATTAAATAGGTTGACAAATTGGTGATGACTGTGAAATCTACTACTCTGTAAACTATTTCTGAAAACAATTAATAAACCTTGCTTAATATTAAAGGTATTTACTTAGAAAATGATTTGGAAATCCAAAGTCTAGCAAAGGATTTAAATCTTATTAAATGAATAGTTTAAAAAATCACTTTATTACTAATAGTATATATGATACTTTTCATAAAACAAATTCTGATATCAACATCAATCAAATATATCCTTCTTATATTGATAACTTTTATTTAATTTACTATTGTTAGCCTTAATTATTAGTTCTATTTTTTTTAATTATTATCTATAGTCTTATTTATCATATTACTTTAGTTCTATATTTAGGTCATGTAATATATGGAATACAAGGTATGTCTCATTGATTCATAGGGTGGCTCTAATCATTAGGGCAAAGTAGTAATTGACGTAGCACATATTATTTAATTTCTTTATTCTATTATCATATCTTATCTATATTTAGTTAGCAGGTTACACAAGTAAATAAATTTGGAATTTTGATCTGATTTGACAAATCTGACAGATTTGGTCACTTTGGTTATCAAATAATTAATAGTCAATTATTTATATAAAGGTCAGCTGTTTAAAACAGTTGATTCAAGATTTTATCTACTGAATTCTCTTATCTTTGACATTATATACAGTATCTCTAATAAATCTTTTAATTAAACCAAATTCTTCAAAGCCTCTTTCAACATGTTTTTTAATCTTATTATTCTTGAATTATCAATTTTAATATATCACGACTGAGGTATTCTCCCTTAACTTAAATTGGAGTATTGCTATAGTTGTCTTTTCTATTTATCTAATTTGAAAGTTATTGGATAGGTTGACAAATTGGTGGTAATTGTGAGATTCACTAACTAGTAAACTATTTTCTGGGAATAATCAAGAAGTCTTGCTCAGTATTGAAGGTATTCACTTGAGAAGGGATTCAAAAATCTAAAGTCTAGCAAAAGATTTGAATTTTGTTATATGAATAGTTTAAAAAACCACTTTATTACTAATAGTATACATGATACTTTTCACAAAACATATTCAAATATCAACATCAATCAAATTTATCCTTCTTATATTAATAACTCTTGTTTAATTTACTGTCTATCTCAGAAACCTTCTTCTATTTTCAAAAACTTTTGGAATTAGTTCAAAGTTGAATTTGTTGCTACTTTTTATACTTTTGTAACCCAATATTATTTTAATTAAACTCTTTCTGCTTTTACCTTTCATTTTAAATTTACTACCATCAAAAAACTAATTCTTACTATCCAATACATATATATTTATTTCTTTGACAATATTTATTTGAAACTCTTATCTGCTATTACACAATTCAAGCTCTTTACTATTAATTCCCTTGAACTATCTAATTTACCTGCTGATTGTATACCTAAAATAGCCCACTTTTCTTTTAGCCCACCCCAAACTTACAATTATTTCAAAAATTTTTTATTTTTTAACGAACTCTTATATCTTGAATCACTTTTTAACTCTTCTATTTTATTTTTTGTTCTTCTTCTATTCTATCTACTATATCCATCCCTTTTAATAATATACATATCCATACAATAATGGCAATACCTAAGGACATCTATGATTATTTTGAACAAAATCCTTTGCCTTCACACTCCAATATACTGCAAGTGAAACCCTTCTCTGATAATAGAACCCAGGACCCTATTACTTGGTTGACTTTCTTTAAAAAGACCATGATAGTTAATCAATGGGAAAACAAAAAACTGATCTGTATACTTAATGTCCACTTCCAGGATAAAGCTGAGGAATGATAGATAACATACTTTGAGGACAATAATATTGATATTAATGCCATGAAATGGAAGGCCATCTCTAATGAATTCAAATAGCAGTTTTGTACTCAGTGATGGATTAATAAATGGACATATGATCTTGAAAAACATAGACAAGGACTAACTGAATCTGTGATTACTTACTATGCCACTTTCAAAAGACTTTTCAAAAGGGTCAATATTGAAGGTGATATAAGTCCTAGCCAACAACTCCGCTACTATATCAGGGGATTGCTATCCTATTTGACTTCAATTGTTTTCATAAACAATCCTAATATTATGACTTCTGTACACAAACTTGCAATGACATATCAAAATGATCAGAACATTAACAATAATGAGGAACCACACAATCTTGCTCTTATCTCAAGAAATTTCAAAATAGCTTTTTTAAAATCTGAAGACTCTATGGATGCTCTTATTAAAAAGTTTGAAAAACTTCAATTGACTTGGCTGAAAAATTGGAACTTCTTTCTGCTCAAGTGAAAAAACAAGACTGTTATCCAAGGCAACCTACCTCCAATTTTATGAATATGTCTAACTCTACCCAACTTGTATGTTTTAGGTACAATGAATCAAAATATCTGACCAGGGAATGTATGCCTAAAAAGGTCAAAGCAAACTTCTCCAGGTTCAGGAAATCTTTGAACTATCACACCATTGAGAAATCTGAAAAAAAATCCAATAAATTTGAATATAAGGAGAAAGTCTACATTTAATTAGCACAATAAAACTTATACCACTAATAGAAGGGAGGTCAAGCAAAAGCAGAAACAATCTGAATCAAATAAGGAATTAAATCTATGCACCAGGAAAGTTTCTAGAATTCCACCAAGGGAAATCCATGACTCTGAACCTGAAGTGATTGTAACCCCTCCTACTGTCAAATCCAAAAGGTCCAATATCAAAGCCCAACTATCTATTGTGAACCAACTGCCCAACTATGACATCTTTGAGGATATTCTAAATCTTTCTGCCAAAGCTACTTTGAAACAAATATTGCAATATCCAAATCAGCGCAAAAACTTGGTGAAAATTCGCAAGCAATCTAAGATACCTGTGGAAACCAATTATCTTACCTCTGATTACCCAAGGAAAACTATAGCTACCAGATGCTATGTTCACATTAAAGGAAATCCTATGATAGCAATTCTTGATTCTAGTGCTGCTTTCAACATTATTACTGACAAACTTATGAGAAAACTTGGATTGGAAATTAATACCAAGTCCAAAACCATTATAATTACTGCTAATAGTATACAAGCCAGGACCCTTAGACAAATAATTTCTTTGAAAATATTTATCCAGGATTTAATTGTACTAGTGACCTTGCAAATAATTAAGTCACATAAGGAGACTCTTCTTCTGGGAACTGATTGGCTGATTCATATGAAGGTAAATTGGAATTTTAAGGACTGTACTTTTCAAATTACTTATAAGGGTAAAACAATTGCCATAGGAACCATCCATCATACTGATACTCCTTCGCATCTTACACAAGGTAACAATAATTATGAGAATAATGAGAATAAACTTTTGGATAAAATTTAATATGAATCTGAAAGTGATCTTGAGAAACAAAAGATCTATATATTTGATCTTTGTTCTTGAATCTAAAGATAAAAATCCTGTTATCTTTCTTTTTGATTGTTCTGAACCTGAGAAATTCACTCCTGAACCATCTACTGGAATCTTGACCAAGGAATAATAAGCAGAGATTCAATAAATTTTATCTAATAATAAGAATGTCTTTGTTAATCATATCTCCAAGGAAGGCCAAACAAGTAATCTAGGAAGGACCACAGTAGTTATCCATAGTATAATACTGGGAATACTACTTCAATCAAATAGCGACCATATAAAGCCTTATCTGATCAACAGGAATTTATCAAAAAAGAAATTTAGAAAATGTTGCAGCAAGGAATTATCAGTTCTGCTACTAGCTCCTGTCTTCTCCTGTTGTTATAGTGCCCAAGAAAAATAATAAGCAGTGCTTTTTGTTGACTATAAGAAACTCAATGCAGTTACTAAAAAG